CGAGCGGCGGCCACCACAACAGATCACTCACCGGCGCCGGACACGCGAGCGCGGCTGTTGACTGGCCCGCTGCCGCGCCAGGATGACCGGGGGCGGGGGAGGCGGCCGGGCGCGGACGGAGTGGGTGTTTGTTCGCCCGCCGCCGCCCCTCCTCCGACACCGCCCCTCCTCCGTCACCTCGCGTCGGCCACTCGGCCGGCAGACGGTGGCCGGTGGCCTGGAGGGCAGGGCGCCTCCGCCCGCTATGTTGCAGGAATGCGCCAGTAATGCAGGATAACAGGACCCAGACCCGCTGCAGAGCAGCCGCGCCGTCACCACCGTGCAGCCGCGAGACCACCGCCGCCAGCGGATGCCAGCGATGGGGAAAGGGCTGGCTGTCCTCAGCCGGCCATATCCGAGGCGTCGGAACGTGCCGACTCCCGGCAGACACGCCCTCCTCGGTACCAGTCACGAGCGCCCTGGGCGTTGGCCGGCGCCACCCAAAACACGTTGTTTACGCGGACATTCCACGGTCGAGATTCCGCCGGACGTCGTAGCGGAGACCGCGGCGCCTGACGGACTGCCAGACGCGGACAGGGCGGGGTGTCGGCAGGCTCGCGCCCGGCCTGTCGTCCCCGGCCGGTGTCCACCGGAGGCCGGGCGCGTCCGTGGCTCACGCCGACACACGCAGAGGCGCGCGCTCCTGATGCCGTCCAGCTCGGACCGCTCGGAGTCGGACTGGCCTCGCCAGTCGGAGATCGCAACCGCATACTGAGCACGAGAGGCGGCTAGAGTGGCACGGAAGTTGTTTATCCCCACAAAGATTGTACGCCATGTTTCGTTGACGGGCGCTAGCCACCATCCGGCCGAGGCTTCAGAGCGGCTGCTCGGTCCCAAGCAGAGAGCATGTAAGGACCGAGGTTCAGGATGCTTCTGAACTATGACAACTATTGCACGCACGGCGACACTGCGCGCTTCCCGACGCGACTGCAAAGCAGCGAAAGCGAGGAATCGGTGAAGCGTGAGGGTCCTTGCAGCTGAATTCGCTGACGACTCAACGCGTTGCTCACTGCCCGGATAACAGAACAAAAGTGAGAGCTTGCGTCACCATTTCAGCCAAACGTGTCGCAGCCTATCTCCAGGTCCTTAATTCTTCCCTGCATTCAATAGGTGATAATGCGTGCCGTCGAAAATGAGAGGGAAAGCACAATGGTGACGCCACTTCCCTACCTTGATGTTGCAACTGTTTGCCTTTGTTACGCACGGCTGACTGGTCGTCACAGTCTGCAACACAAAGCGCAGACATTGCAATCCTCTGAATAACTTTCATGCATAGCTGAACGTTCGGACGTCGACACCGATTTGGTGGTTTCGTAATTAAATAGGGTAACGATAGGACACACTTTAAATCCGTTCAATAAATTCTAGATGCGAGGATACGCAACTATGATAAATAACGTGCTCTCTTGGCCTCTGAAAACTTGCAGCATCAGAGTTATTGTGCGTCCCAGTCTTTAAGTATTTACAAATAAATAAAAAGTTGGCAAAGCTGTATAACGTATTCCCGACTTTTTTGATGTGCACGATTCATATCACGCATGTACACACCCAGGGTTCCTTGCACATCCGTTTCATTATTGGTGCAAGGGAACCCGATTTCTTTAAAATCCATTCATATGTATTGGGTCATGAACCGACATCTTGCATCTTGAACAAGCCTTAAGCAGCCCATTCTTCTCGATCTTTTTGCCACTGTTTCAATGGACGCTAGTCTTTCACTCAGGAAGTGAAAGGTGCTAAACCACCTCACCTGAAACTAGAACACGTGACCGGCGTAAAAATCACCCGCCCTCTCCCGATCCCGCCGAAACAACGAAAACCACTGCATTATTCACAGGAGGGGAGTCGGTGGGTAACAACAGCCAGAGCAGTGTCGCACCTCACCAGAGACTTCCAGCGTTCTGTTTTGGTTCCAGGCTGCGTCATCACTTGCAAAGAACGTCGCGTTTACGCGGTATCTTCACCAGCGTCCGGCCACCCCGGCCTTACGGGCCGGCGTTGTGAGCTGGCGGGCACATGCCACTGAGGCCGGTCCGCCATCTCCGCCGTGACGCGGCGCACAGCGGCCGCTTACCGGCGCGCCAATCTGGCCGTGGCGCGCGCCAAGGTCACGGACGGTGACCCGGCCGGCGACGAGCGGCCAGAGCGATGTGAAAGTACGGCCTGGGCCGCCGCGGCGCGGTCCAATTGAGCAAGGCGGCGAACACGGAGCGGGCCGGGCCGGAGCCAAGGTCTGCCGGACCAGCGGACGCCGGCCGGCTGCGCGCGCGTGCCGCACGGACCGCGCGGCAGGGAGCAGCTGCAGCGTGCCGACGAACACCTGGAGCCGGCCTGACAGTCGGCTGGCATGTGAAGGCCGTCACTGGGAGGCAGGGCGGCGGGTGTGGTCACGAAGGCTGTGCAGCTATGCGGTCCACACCAGTCTCTGACGAGGAACGCGACTGGGCCGCTTTTATTTACGGACCAAAAGGAGAAGTAAGCGGAAAACTGAGTGGTCCCACCACGGAAAGCTGAGTGGTTTCACCACGGAAAGCTGAGCGAACGAACCACCGGGAGAAACAAACCGGCTCCGGCAATACGGCCTGCTGGCCGACCCTATCGCAACATCAGCGCCCTTTATTAGCCGTGTTATCAATCTGCCGGAGCCGCGATCCAATCTAGCTCCCAGAAAAATTGCCAGCTGCGCGGAAACCCTTCCACTGTGCAAGCCTGCCGCTGCAGGGGCGCCACCGCACGCAGGCGGGCTAGCGCCCGCGACCAAGCCGTGACTGGTGGTCGGGGAAACACGGGGCGGCGGCGACCCGCGCTGCGCCGGGCGTACGCCGTGCGACACCGCCGCGCCGTGAAGCAACAATGTTTGCAGCGCCCGACACGACGGTGCTGCAGCTCTGGCGCCTCTCCGCGCTCCACTAATCATGGGGAAGGAGTGCACTTTCACGCAATTTGATACCGAAACTCAAGGCTGCACGTGCTTAGAGTTCGCGCTGGCACCGCGAGTTGATTTAAGGCAGCAGTTCTGCTCGCCCTGACGCCTGGCACGGTTCGGAACATGACGACTAAGGCTCTGTGTGGATCGTGAGACGGCGATGGTTGTGGCAGCGTATGCACCGGCCCGTCTCCCGCGGGCCCATCATGCTGCCGTTGCGAACATTCACCACATTAGCTGCTGTATGTGGACCGAGTGGCGTTCCCATATTTCCAGCCAGCTCAGTGACGAACACCATGTGAAGGCACACCTGGGTCCAGCTTCGTGAGACGAAACTTAAGACCAACGCCTTCGATGACTGTTCGTTGACTGGGGCTTTCGAATCGTGCCGCGTGAGATCACGGGTCGGGAATATCCCGAAGTCCCCTCAGCGTTCGATCGGTAAGCTGTCCTTGGACAGGATGCGTCGTTTATTCAGATGCGCCTGTGGTACACACTCCCGTGCCGACCCCAACACGTTTCCAGCGTCGTTATCCCGGTTAGCTGCGTACCGAACCCCGAGCTAGCTTCGGCGAGACGCCGGCGGTGGCTGCCCTACAGTGACGTCACATCGCCGCGGGCAGATGCCGCTCTATCTAATCAGGCCGTGACGCGGGAGACGATGCCACAGACCGGAGGGCCGACACCATGGTCAATAGCCGCAGGACAGCTCCGTCCGCACCTCGTGCTGACGCCCGGCTGCGCGGTTATCCGATCTACGTTAGTTCGGGTGATGACTCGTTCAATGGCTGGTCCGATAGCTGTTCTTTGATGATGTAATCAGATGCAAGTGAGGTGATCCTGTAGAGATGACGTGCACGTTTCCATGGAGTAACCAGCGACTAGCTCACATCAATGACTCATCTGCGGCTGAGCTCAGCACCTTACACGAAAGTCGACACTCGTTTCCTCTGTACCATGTGAGCGCGGGACGTCCGACAGCCAGTCACACCTCAATCGCGGGGGTAAGTGACCATCAGAGTGGGAGGGACCATCACGGGATCAGGTTGGATGGCACTGCTTCTCGGACGGCGCGCCACCCATCGCCAGCGCAGCCGCGGGCAATCGAAGCCGCGTCACGGGCGCAAGAAGCGGCGATACGAGTGGGCGGCGCGGATGTTTGCTCTGACAGCTCACCCAAGCGATCGCCACCGTTACCGTGGTAACGGGCGCTGTACGAATGCAGGCCAGGCGATTCACCATTAGCGCGACATAGAAAGCCTCCGTCCGGATTTCTCTCACAGACATTAGCATCAATATCCAGTCGTTCCCAAGATTCCCAGCGGCGCGGTCGGCTGGCTTCGGGAGGACACCCATGACTGGGCTCAGACGGAGCACGGCCGGTCCGCTGGCTTCGGGAGGACACCCATGACTGGGCTCAGACGGAGCACGGCCGGTCGGCTGGCTTCGGGAGGACACCCATGACTGGGCTCAGACGGAGCACGGCCGGTCCGCTGGCTTCGGGAGGACACCCATGACTGGGCTCAGACGGAGCACGGCCGGTCCGCTGGCTTCGGGAGGACACCCATGACTGGGCTCAGACGGAGCACGGCCCAGCGAAGGCACTCTGGGCGCGCCGGCACGCACGGAAGGGCCGCCGCCGTGACGCAGGGGAATGGAATGAATGCTTGAATGCTTGAATGCTTGAATGGCACTTCTGACCCGAGTCCAGTAGACACAATACCAACGGAATGCAACTAAACGGAGAAATTGTGTTATCTGGGTGGATACATGCTTTGAGAGAGTCTTTCGAGTTACATACGCGATCAAATGGCACATTACCAACCAGGCTTCGTCAATGACATGCGTAGCAAACCGACGGAAAACAACATCAGTGCCTGGCCGTTACACAGCTTTTGCCATACCAGATAAACTAAGCCAAGTCGGTCCTTGACACCACGGCCTACCTCTATCCAGCATGCCACAGCCCATCTAGGTAAACCATGGCTAGGCCTAACACGGCCGGGGCGGGCACGTGCAGAGCTGTGCCACTGACCTGGGCTGGCGGTGAACACCTCGTCGGGGCCCTGGCTGCCGGCGCGGCCCCGCCGGCCCTCCTCGCGCTCTGCGTCGGTGTCGTCGACGGATATGGTGCGCAGCAGCGGTACCACATCCTCGTCGGAGTCGCCGCCAGACGCCGTGCGCGCCTTCTCACGGGTCTTCCGTCTGCGGAAACGAGCACAGGTCAGCTGCTGGGGTGAGGAGGCGGCGGCGGTCGACGAAGGGTGAGACAGACGTGGGAGATCAGGCGTGGGAAACACGCCAGAAATGGAGGACGTTGGGGCGGTGAGCAGACCACTGACAGCGAAATAAATCGCAGACAATGTGGAGTAGCGCAGTAAGAGGGTTACACAACGTGATTTCATCGTTCGATAATTAGATGTCGGGTCATGGCGCAACACAAAAACTCGAAAGCGCTCGGGACTGTAGCGTGACAGATCAAACCAAATCACAAAACAATCAGCATTATTCTCACTTTCTGTGGCGGCGCGGATCGGAACAATGGAACGTCAAGATCGAGGGCCGCCGTCCGGTCTCTCCGGAAGCTAAGTATGGGAGATTACGCGTCGGTTCATAAGAGACCCGATTCGGCGTGACGGGGGCCCATAAGAGGCCCCGATTCGGTGTGACGGGGTGATCCGTCATGACGCAGCAGAGTGGAGGGACAAGGGCCGCCGTGATAGCCGGCCACCGTGGGAGAGTGGGACAAAACCAGGCATAGCGGGAGGTGGCCGGATAACGGACAGGCTGGCAGACGTCCACAGCCAGCTTTATTGTGGGAGAAGCGGGGATGCTCCAGCACAGATGCCCGGTCTGTCGCACGTCGGCTGTGCACATCCGGCGGCCCGTACCACAGTGCCAGAACTAAAACAGCTTCTCCTTCATATTGGGGTTCTGAAATGCTGATCAACGCTTTCAGCGAATGCTGCCCTGTTCAGTCCATGCTCTGGTACCAGCCTCAACAATGGTTTACGCACAGCCAGTGACGATTCCGGTAAAACTGCTTCGTCGACACTGACGCTGATTGTGTAACGATGACGTGGCGCTGCGTAGAGAAGCCGAACATTTGCGTTCTCTGTTCATTGGCGTTCTCCGTCCCTTTTCAGCCACTAAACAGATTTAACCTTCACCGTTCCACAAACAAACTTCCGCAATTCTTCGGAACGAGACAGGTGACTGAGCGCATGCGATGAGCGTCGTAAACAGTTCGCGAAACGACCGTACACACGTCACCGTCCGCGTCGGGCAAACCAAAGATAACTACTGCGGACGAAACGGCGGCGCCACGCCCTCAAACCGACCACTCCCGTATCGCTCGTCGCTTCCGGTCAGGCCAGTCCAATCCAAGCGATGACGCCGCTCGTCGAGTGTCAGGAAACAGCCCCAGACGGCGTCGGAGGTCTGACTTCTGGCCCGTCCGGCGAACGGCGGCCACGGGGTGGGTTTATGGCCCGCAGCGTCCAGCGGAGACGGAGGCGACCTTGCCCATCACAGCGGGGGCACGGGATGAAGCCGGCCCACGAACTAGGAAGAGGGGAAGGACAGCGATTGCCGGAGGCGCGGGCCTCAGGCGGACGTGGCCCAGACTTCGCGGTGAGTCAAGCGGCGACGATCGCGGACAGTTTCGTGACGCACGGAGCGGCGCGGCCGCACGCAGGGAATTCTGGGCCCGAACGGGACGTCGCGGGGAACACGTCACCTCTCTCCGCATGGCCGACTGCATCGCTTCAGAGAAAGGAATCAAAACATCCGCGGCATTCAGTCGGCGCCGGCCGACACGTCGGGCAGCTGTTCGAGTGCCTGAGTGTCTCAGCGTCTGAGTGTATGAGTGCATCAGCAGCGCCCGGCGGAGTTTGGGAGCCCGCTCGGGCCGCAGACAATCGACCGGCGCCGGCGTCCGGCCGCCGCCGACGGCTCCAGAACTGGGCCAGCGCCCGGGATTCCAACGAAGGCCAGCGCGGTCGTTGGCAGAAGCGGCGTGACCCCGGTCGCCGAGCTGACCGCAACGCAAAGTGAGCGTGGGAGCGCTGGCCCGTCAGTGGCAAGGAAGTCCGGCTCGGGAGGAAGAGAAACTGCGGCGCAGTGCTGCGTTCGGCGCAGCCTCAGCTATGTGAGAGCGGCACCTCCACTGTCGGCTAGCGATGCGCTGAGGCAGCCAGTGCAAACGCCCAACAAAGTCATGCGCAAACTAGCCGTGAGTCATTACTTGGAGAAAAGACGCGCTTTCCTGGTGTGTGTGGCACGACATTGCACTGCTCCTGAAGGAAAGCGGTCGTCAGCGAAAGCGGTCGTACGTTAAAAGTACACATATTTGCGCTGCGGCCTGTTCAACGGGTTCACGCACTGCTGCGAAGTCCGTTCAGGCCCCGTTGGAGCAGGACAAAAGGAGGTGATCCCGATTGACCACTGGCGACACGGAACGCTGGGCGGTATTCCGCGTGCCCCGCCCTCGACGCGTGGAAAGTCCCTTGTAGCAAGCGCTGTTAGCGATTCTGTTCGTGTATTCCGCATGCCCCGCCCTCGACGCGTGGAAAGTCCCTTGTAGCAAGCGCTGTTAGCGATTCTGTTCGTGTATTTCGCGGTGCGCTATGCTACTTGGTCGTAATGAAACAGAGCCTCTCACACCGAACACATGTAAAGCGGCCGGACCCGCGAGCGCCGTGGTGGACGGACCCACGAGACACGCAGCCACCGACGCCTCCCGAAAGGCCGCTGAATTAAACATAACCTGCCCCAAAACAATGGGGGCGTTCAGCTGGCCTCGCCGCGGCTGCGGGTCGACGGCGGCCGGCGGCGGCGCTGGCCCGGCGCGCGCCGCCCGCCAGCCCCACCTCTAATTGAAAGAGGAGCCGGTAAACAATGCCAGCCAGGTGCGGCCATGGACGCCGGCTGCGGCCGCGGGCACGGCGGATCAGCCGCACCCGTGGAATGCCGAACAATTAGCGTTAATTGTGCCTGATTGGCAGCAGGCGCGGCAGGACGGCCGGATTATACGAGGAAACCGCCGAGGAAAGCAAGAGGGTAGCCGACAGATCTGGAGATGAGCACGAGTTCGGAGGAGAGAGGGCCGAGGTTGGGCTGAGGTGGACATGACAAACATCGCGTGGCGCACTCGCACGAGGCTGAGCGTATGTTCCACTCCGCAGGGCTCTATCTCAGTCAGCGCCGGCTGAACAAACGCAGCTCCAGATGCCCGTCTCAAACAGCTGGGGTGACAGTCGGACAGCGAGTAACATCCCGATTTCCGCTGCTCGGAGACAGCTGGGTCATTCGTCAGTCTCCAGTTAGCCTCGGCTGGCAGGCGGCTCACCCGCGGCCGATACCCCCCCCCCCCCTTTCTCCCGGCCATTTGTCGCAGCCCGCTGCACCGGCAGCTGGCTCCCGCCGCCGGGGCGTCACCCTTGCCGCCGTCGCGCCAGGAACGCACACATCTGCTCCCGCCTGATTTATGAGCCGTAGGGGAGGGGGTGGAGGCACGCGCCTTCGTCTGAGTCAGAGGTGGCGCGCCGGTGTCACCTCCGGCGCAGATCGTGGAACGGACGCCGCAGCCGCCAGCTGTCGCCAGCTAATGCCACGCGCCGATGAATGGGTCGGCAAACACGGAGCACGCGTTCACCAGCGTCGGGAGGCGGCAGAGGCGGGCGGTGCTCCGAGGCAAGCACGGTGTTTTTAAGATCACTACTGCTTCACGCTCGCCTCCGCAGCCATCTCCGATCTCGAAAACGACCGTACCATTTTTTACATCGTAAATGCCAACGATGTATGAGCCGTTGTGAATCAAATGACCGAAGGTCACCATGGTGTTTTCGGGTCACTATAGTGACCTTCGCCTCAAAGGGCAGCGATGATACAATGTTTCTTTACTTGTTGCCGTATCCGATTTCACCAGTCAAATTTGAAAGTATTCACAATTCGACTTGCAGCACACGTTTTCTTTACCTGTCGTGAGTCTGGTGACATTAGGTCACCTTATGGACTTTCAAGAGGGCTGAATAGCTGGACGGGTGTCAATGTCAGGCCTCAGAATTTCATGGTCTAATTTAAAAACAACTTTCCCCATCATGCTCGCAGCATGTTTTCGGAAAATATCGATGGGGTCAGGTTTCTTTTGGAAGTACTGGTTAACATTTTCAAGCAAGCCATTTCCAAGGTTGCGACGTCATTTTTAATGGTCAATTCGCGCGATAATACAGCGGTCCAAATCCAAACTCACAGGCTGTATATCTCAGCGCAAGGGCTTTGTGCGGCTTGCAATACTGCTCATAAGTTGGCAGCGTCTTTGTTCATGCAATTAATACGCTTGTTGCCATAAGTCATGCCAATGATGTCGCCGCCTGCTAGGTTGTGTACAGAATAAATGCTTCAACATCCTTTCTCCAAATCGTAAACTGAACGATGGAATTCCCCTAGCGACGGAGCAAGAATGTTGATCACGAATTCGCGCCAGAAGGCCAAGAAAGCACGCACAGCACTGTTCGGCGTCGGGTCACCAGGGCGTCGCCCTTCGGTTGGATAGCCGCCACATCACGCTGCAGCCGTCTCCGATGTTGGCTACAAGTGGTCCTCTTCAAACCTTTGCCATCCGAATCCCAGCGTGACATTTACTGAGACATAGTGCATCTGTCGGACTAAAGTCACCATGGCGACTCTGACTCGGCCACGGCCACAATGGCCATGGCCATGGTTACCCCGTCTCAGATCAAAGCCACTGATGCAATGCCATTTCATCGCTACACTCCAGAATCCGTTCGCCAGGGTGACCTGAGGTCACCAGGTTTACAACGGATGATGTATTTTTGTGCTATCTTTTTCGAGAGATAAATGATTTCTGAAAGTCCAATTAGTCTGGCAAGATTGAAGACCACTGCAGAGACGGCGTTTAAGTCGTGTTGTGCCTGCTTTCGGACGCCTGACGCAAATTCGTGATAATCACCATTCAGGTAGTCAAACATGACCTCAACCAGCCACACATATTGTATTTTTCCGCAATGTTGGCTTTAAAAGGAATGTTTCTTTGACCATTCACTAATAAAGAGCTTCACTCCATGATAATAATGCCGCCAACCATGCTCTGGTCTTGTATTCCCCACCCGTGTTACACCGCCCGGATAACCCTATTGCTCGTTCCACGATTAAGATTCATATGCTTTAATATTCCGACTACGCGACCAAACAGGTAGTTACGCCATTAAAGACACCGGCCACGACACTAGCATTCATTGTATGAACGCAGATTGACGTAATCCCAAAGCGATTTTGCAAGCCGCACAAAGCATGCACGTTCAAAACGTGCACAGTTTCACCACCAAACACCACCGCATTACTACGCAAGTTGGTCGTCCAAAAAAGACGGCGTCACCTTGACAGTAGTTCCTGGACGGCTCCTGCACCTGCATGTGCGGGGGCCATTCACGGAACGTGGTCTGGCAATAGCTGGCGACAGACCAAGCATTCACTTAACGACGATTAGACCACAACACCACGAGTTGATGGCTACACCAAGCACAGTTCACTGTTGTGGGAACCAGTCGAGAATTTAAGGCTGGATAACGGAAGTTCCTCTCTTTCCATATCGTGAATTGTGAACTTTCCATCTCTTGGGATCAAAGCTCGAGCAGCCCCCTAGTTCTCACTCAAGCAGTCCCTGTGCCTTGTGCGAGCAACACATTAACCCAATTGGTTCCATTATTTATCGTCTCTCGTGCCGATTCAGCAGCAACAATTGGTGGCAATCGGCGTCGGCGGCTGGGAGCCCGGCAAGTGGCACGCCAACCGGGCTCCTCAGCCGCGTGGAGCTCGGTCCAGTCGCCGTACAGACTCAGCAATCACTGCAATCGACGCTTTGGCTTCTGCCTCCAGCCCTCCGTCGCCGTCTCCGTTTTGAACAGCCTACACGGCGAAGCGGACTAACAGACGCAGTACAGGCCGGCGGCGGTTCCGCGACCCGGCCGCTGGCTGCGCGGCGGCGGCGCGCGGCCGTCAGCTCGCGGCTTCCGTCAGCACCAGCGCCAAACACGGACCGGACACAGACCACATCCGGTGGCCCGGCGCCGGCCCGCGCCGCGCCGCCGGTAGTGGAGTCCGGTCCGGCCGGCCGCCGGCGGCCCCGCCAGCCAAGGCGTCGACACCCACCGACCGGGCGGCAGGAGCGGAGAGGCGCTGGGTGACGGGACGAGCCGGGAGGAGCTGGGAGGTGAAACCAGCTAGGAGGTGCCGGGGAGAGAACGAGCTGAGAGATGCTCGGACGACGGGACGAGCTAGGAGGTGCAGGGAACGGGACGAGCTGGGGGTGCCGAAGAGGCAGGACGGGCTTAAAGTGCAAGGAACAGGACGCGCCGGGAATGCCAACGAGGCGAGACGAGCTGGGAGATGCAGGGAACGGGACGGTTGGGAGTGCCGACGGGACGAGACAAGCTGGGAAGTGCTAACCGCTGGCGGACGGAGTGCTGAAAAGTGCCGCCTGCCAGGGAGACGTCAAGCTAGCAGGGGAAGCCACCCGCTCGGCGCGAGGGGTAACACTGGCGAGACCGACACCGTGTGGGGGACAAACCATCCGCGCAGAGGAAACTCCGGTCGATCTAAGCGTCAGCGACTGGTGAAGAGTCGCGACAAACACCGTGGGAGGAGTGAAAACCGGAAGATGGGTGGGAGGAGCATAGCAAAAACCCACTCGAGTCGCACATCACGCCCGGGGTGTGAGCGCTGCTTGAGACGCCCGGCGGCCGCCGCGGCGCTGTGACGGCGCTGTGACGGCTGACCGGGCGACCAGCCGGCGGCCGCCGCGACGCTGTGACGGCTACCAGGCGACCAGCCGGCGGCCGCCGCGACGCTGTGACGGCTGACCGGGCGACCAGCCGGCGGCCGCCGCGACGCTGTGACGGCTAACCAGGCGACCAGCCGGCGGCCGCCGCGACGCTGTGACGGCTAACCAGGCGACCAGCCGGCGGCCGCCGCGACGCTGTGACGGCTGACCGGGCGACCAGCCGGCAACCGCCGCGGCGCTGTGACGGCTGACCGGGCGACCAGCCGGCGGCCGCCGCGACGCTGTGACGGCTGACCGGGCGACCAGCCGGCAACCGCCGCGGCGCTGTGACGGGCTGACCGGGCGACCAGCCGGCGGCCGCCGCGACGCTGTGACGGCTGACCGGGCGACCAGCCGGCGGCCGCCGCGACGCTGTGACGGCTGACCGGGCGACCAGCCGGCAACCGCCGCGGCGCTGTGACGGCTGACCGGGCGACCAGCCGGCGGCCGCCGCGACGCTGTGACGGCTGACCGGGCGACCAGCCGGCGGCCGCCGCGACGCTGTGACGGCTGACCGGGCGACCAGCCGGCGGCCGCCGCGACGCTGTGACGGCTAACCAGGCGACCAGCCGCAGGTCAGGCGATCGGCCCCGGCCCGATCGCCCACCTGCGGGGACCGGTCTGCGACGGCGCACGACACCACAGAACCTGTCCGCGGTCTGCCACGGATAGGCAGCTGAGACATGAGACCAGGCTGGGCTGGGACAGAGTACGTGGACGGCGCTGGACGGGCGACTCTAGACTCCGTGGGTCGGATGGGTCTGAAATAGCGCTGGTTGGATCTTGGGAACGGAGCGGTCAAGCTGATGTCCAGAAGGGCCGTTTCCTGACGTTTCCCATTCGAGCTAAGATGACATTTCCCGGGTCATTTCCGGCTGCTAACGTGACTGAAGTTCATGTGTCTTCGATCCTTACAGCCGTTTGTTTGCCACAGACCTCGCCCACGCACTCCCCTCCCGTCTCGGGTTTCACAAACTTAGACCATGCTACCATCTGTTCTCCAAAGTTTGCGGCCTTGCAAAACAGCTGGTCATCTTTTTCTTCCATTCCAATACGATGGTTTGACTTCGCGCCCTTTGGTGCGCCGCCACTGGTCCCCGGGGACCCAGCCAACACAAGCACACGGCTGCGCGGCAGGCCCGGTTCTCGGTACCCAGTGCGTGTCCGTGTGGGGCCCACCGGGACCTGGGCGCCGTCCTCCCCGCCACTGGAGCAGTGGCAGGCGTGTTTATGCGGGCCCGCGGGAGCCGCAGTGTCCGGGCCAGTCTGCATGGCAGGCGCCACGGCCGCCCGCCTCCGAGCATTGTCTGCAGGGCGGCAGGGGCGCGCCCAGGCTGTCTCCCCCGGGGAGTATTACGCATCCGCCCGGAGGCTCTACCGGCACCAGCACCGTCCGTCGCAACACACCGCAGTCTGCCAGCTCTGTGCGAGCCCGCTCAGAAATCTCCGCCGCCCGCCGGGCTGGCTCGAAGGACGGCCGAGACCGATCAGCCCTCGGACCGCCCTACCGCTGCCCGTGCGGCCGTGATACGGCGTGGCGGGTGCCGGCGCTTGGGCGGCGGAGGCGGCGCGCTGCAGGCAACAGGCGCTGCAAACACGACGCCAATTGCGACACGGGTTCGCAAAGTGAGCCGTGCCGGCCGGCCGCCGCGCTGATTGAAGGGGGACAGGGGCGAGCCAGCCCCTGCGTGTCCACACGTCATCGGGTGCCGGTGAGGGAGGCGGAGGAGGAGCGGCGCAGCAGCGTCAGTCGGCCAGCTCTGGTCGGCTGGCTAGGGTGGCGAGGCAGGCGTCCGGTCAGTGCCGGCGATCCGCCGATAGCCTTCAATGCGCCTGCACGAGCCCAAACCGGGTCGTGGAACCGACCGCGGCTGATCACGGATGGAGGAGGAGGGGAGGGGAGGGGCACGTCTGCAGCCCGTCTCCGAGCTGCTGTCTCCCGGTCGGTCGTCGGCAGGAAGCGGCGGCGCCGCGGCGTGCGCCGTCCGCACTGACCAGCGCCGAGCCGGCGCGCCAGCCCGACACTCGGCGCCTGCACGGAGGGCCGCGGCTTCCGGACGTGCCGACGCTGCCCTCCAGGTAGCATGGGAGGAGTGGTGTCTTCCAGGTAAAATGACGAGGGGCTAGTCGTGCCACAGAGCGATGCTGAGAGGCGAGAGAGCAGGTGACAAATTGTTCGGCTCCTCTGAAGCACCCCTAATACTGTGCAGCCGATGTTCAGCGCACGGCCTGCAACATCGTATTGCGTCCCGACGGACGGTGAAGTCCCCGAGGATTCATCGCCGATGGCTCGGCGACCACGTCAAGGTCACGTTCACCCTGATAACGAGCGCCATGCGGTTGAGAACAAGTCCGCCAGCACGGGCCTCGTACAACCTCGGCAGACGGCGCCAGCCGAGCCCAGCCCTCCCGCCTGGCCGCGCCGCGCGATCCCACCACGGCGATGATGATGATGATGATGATGATGCTGATGATGATGATGATTGGAGTTATAGAGCACGCCGAAGCCAGAGGCCATTTCTCGCCGATCTCACAGCGGTGGAAGATCAGTCCCGATAACCCCGCACCGGCGGAGCATCAGGCCCGATAGCCACGCACCGATGAGGGATCAGGCCCTATCACCCGACCCGCCGGCGGCTGAGGGGAGTCACATCACGCGTCCGCGCGCCGCCGCAGATGGCCGTCCGGTGCCTGCCCGGCCGGCCATTCGTCCCGGCGCGTGTAGCGGACCTGCGCGGCCGCGAGACGCCGCGTCAGTTCCGGTGGCATATGCGGCGCGCGGCCGGCCGCGGCGTCGGATCGCCTTCCTCCCACTGAGGTGTGTCGGGGTAACGGCTCGGAGAGGAGGCGGCGACGGACGGCGGCGGCGACACACCCCGACAGGCGGCGCACACCACAGACGACGGTCGTGCCAGATAACCACACGGCTAACGAAAGCGAATGAAGTGGAAAGAAATATGCATCCGCTGGCAATGCGTTCTCGCGAAACACTGCCAGCGCCGACGCAACGTTCGGTGAACAAACAAGGACATTAAGGGCTGCCACTGCCAGGGCTACTCAGACTGGAAAGCGATGAAGACCGTCAGCCAAGAGCAAGGCCACCACCGGGGCCAGCAACACCAGCCGGTCGCACAGCTGATGAACCGGGCGGCTGCCGGCGCGACCCGCAGCGGCGCTACCTGCTGGTGGGACTGATGATGGCGTCGAGCCACTCGGCCACTGTCTCCGACTCCTGCTCCAGTGACGTCTGGCTGGCCCAGAAGACGGGCCGCACCGCGGTGTCCACCACTGAGCTGACCGAGTGGCGCAGCTGCGGATCCGCCGAGTCGGACATCTCTTGTGTCGATGGGCGGGAGCACAAGGCCACGGCGACCGCGGTGAGCACAGGACCACCGGGAGCCCACACGGCCAGGGAGCACAGGCGATGCTTAGCAGACGAAGCCTTCGAGCGCGAGGAAACTTGAAGCACTGGAACTTCCGGACACAAAATCCTGCGTGAAGGGAGACGAACGGAACACACGGCACCTCAGAGCACCGGCGACACTGGCGAGAGAACACAGTGACACTGCAGCGTTGGCGCCGCCGCAGACAACCAACTGGCCTGGGACGGCGGGAGGTTTCCTGCCGCCGCGGCGGATACGGGGTATCGCTGATTCACACCGGATCCTGGAGCGGCCCGGGCCGCCGCGTGGCGCACTAACCGCAGCTCGTCGAGAAAGCCGGCTGGCGCGCCGTGCCGCCCGGTGACGCCCCGGTGACGCGCGTCACCGCCCGGCGTCATCGGCGCGGCGGCGGCGGCACTGAGTCAGCGCGACCAACATGGCCGCCCAGCCGGCCCAGGCGCCAGCACGACTGGACCCTTGGACGGCAATCACTGACGGCAGGGGCGGCCACAGCGCGCCGCCGGCGGGGGGCTCCGGCAGCGGCACGGCCGGACGGGCCATCCCGTGGAAGGTGAGCAGTGCCGCGGCGGCGGCATGACGACGGCGACGGCGGCGGTACCGGCCAGGCGCACACGACGAAAACGGGGGACGTGATGAACGTGTTCGAACCGACAACTGGACCGCTGATAGGGAGGACGGCGTGAGGCACGACCGAGGCACCCCGCCGGCAGATGCGCGGCGCCGCGAGCCTGCGCCACCCGCCGCTCCCGCGTAGTTTGCGAAACTCACTATGCCGACTGCTCGCTGCGCGCGCCCAGCCCGAGCGAACACGGAGAAGACGCGTCCGCCGCCCTGCACTGCAGCACCGCTGCGCGCGCCCAGCCCGAGCGAACACGGGGAAAACGCGCCGGCCGCCCCGCACTGCAGCACCGCTGCGCGCCACGCTAACCGGCCCGGTCGGTGCCGCGTGCGGCCCGTGACGCACCGGTCGCCAGCCGGTCCCCAGGCCGCGCTGACAGCTCGGCTCGGCTGCACTCTCCGGCTGACTAATTGGCCGAACTCGCGGCGGAGTTGCGAAAGGCGGCGGTCAGTCGGCATCCTCTCCGGCGCGGCTCCGCTCTCCGAAGACCGCAGCCGACGGGCGCACGGGCCGTTACGTCACGCCGCGAGTCGACCCGTGTCGGGACATGGCTGGAGGCGGCACCGCGGCGTGCCGACATTACCGACATAGCTGCATGCAAAAACAATGGCGGCGTTTATTTATCCAGCGCGGCCGCAGCCAAACACGACGCCGGCGCTGATGGACGCGCCGCGTCCCCGGCGGCCGCCCCTGGAGTTCGGAATAGCCGCGGCGTCGGGAAAGGGGTGGGATCGAACCGGGCACCCCCGGCCCGCGAGCCCGTGTACCCGACGGCAACCGCCGCGCTCACACCGGGCTGCCGACCTAGGATCCTGCCGCAGGAGAACCTCTGAGAATGCTGCGGCGGGAGCAATAGACATCAAGTACTTGCTGGGGCGGGGTAAGTGGACGTTAAGTACAGCTAGGGCGGGGACAGTGGACATCAAGTACATCAAGTATTGCTGGGGCGGGGACAATCGACATTAAATACTGCTGAGGCGGGGACAGTGGACATCAAGTACTGCTGGGGCGGGGGACAGTGGTCGTCAAATGCACATCCTAGGATGCCAAATACACTGGTTTGGCCAAATGCAACTTGGTTTGGAACGGAGCACACAGTTCGGTGTTGCAAGACGTTCCGCTCGCACCGAAATCACACGTTCGAAATGGATAACACAAACTGAGCCGTGTCTGGTGGTGAAAGGAACGCCGATTACTTCGGTCGACGACTGAACAAAGTCGTGACCTTCACCAAAGTCACGAGCCATCAGCTGACAAGGTCATAACACTAGGTAAATTGATTGAGCTTCACAGACCAATGGCCGCCATGCTCTGCGCTCCGATCCTGTTCAAAAGGCATCCCGGCTATCCTTGAACTGAACGCGTGATCGGCGATCGCCGCCCCGCGCCACATCTAGCCCCGAGAGTGAGCTGACGCCGAATGGCGCGGTGTTCACGGTTCACCGCTGCGCTAATCAGCTGAGTCACTCCTCGCCCCAAATAACACCGCACAACAACGCGAGCAACGAGCTGACCGTGCCAGCCGCTGACGGCTGGCAGGCCGGCAGCCCCTGCCCGTGTAGGTCGCGCACGACCCCGACCGGAGCGGCCCGTTAGCCGTGTGTGCTGAGTTTATGCACCGGTGGCTGCACGCGCGCCGCTCGGAGCGCGGCGTGAAAAGTAGGCCCCGCGCGGAGCGCAGCCCGTAATAATACCCCGCGATTGAGTGTGAATGTCGGCGTATTTATAAACCGCGTCACGTACCGTTTAGCAGCCGCCGGGACCATATGCCAGGCGGCCATCCGGGGCCAGTGAATGGGAATCTGTTAGCCGTATCATGCGTCGTCCAGTGCGCCGTTAGCGGCGGCCAATCCGTTCCTCAGCCGACGATCGCCGCGGGCTGTCATTGGTCTGTTACTGGTGTGGATGACAGACGGCACTTCCATTGTGAAGACGCTGCTCCGGCGCCACCCGACGCGACGGATCGAGATTACTGAATCGGAACGGCGCGGGATTGCTGCTCGCTGCTGCCAGCCCGGGCCGGCACAGAACGGTACAGTAGAAGTCACGATATGATTCGCACGTATGCTGCCACCAAAATAAACAGCACACTGTTGCCGACGAATGTGGCCCGTCGGAGGTTGTGTCCCTTGTGGGCTGGCCACCGTGGAGTCGCTGAAACTGGGTGATATGTTGCCGGCGTGCAGTTGTGCACAAGTCTCGAGTTCCACATTTGTGCATCGGATGGCTGCCATCACTGGCGCGGGAGATCGCGTTCCGGAGACCAGAACGGCAGGCGCATGTGAGGGGAACAATGCGCGTCTGAAGTAACGGTCGGTGACAATAACATACCGCACATCATGCTGTTTGTATAAGACTCCTAACGGCACCGGTGAGTCCGCGACTTCTTCACCCTGGTTCCGGGACGCACCACTAAGCGGCAATCTCGACTCACATCAGCTGGCGGCCCATCACGCCCCGCACGGCACACAAGAGCGCTTAGCTCGCGATAGACGGACCAGCCGCACCTGGCAGCGGCGGCGGCGGCGGCGGCTGCGCAGAGAGCCGCCGAGCGACCTCGGTACCCGCCCACGTCCTGTCACGCGGCCCGAGCGGCTGAGAGCCGGCCCACGGAGCGCCCCACGCGCCGGCTCGCTGGGAGTGGGACAAAGCGCGGCCCAGGCGACCTCGACCCGAGCCCGCGACCCGGCCAACGCTCCCAGCATGGCGTCGGGGTGGGTCTGAAATGACTCCTTAGCTGAACTGGGGAGTAAAACGGTCCTGGTGACAGGCGACCCGAGCCGACCTGCTCCAGAAGCCCGACGATGGTGCTGTGCTACAGTAGCCGACGCGATCTTTAACCTAACATCGTCATCGTCATCAGGTTTCATGTAGTCATCGCCCTGGGATTAGGCGTGGAACAGTTGACGACGATCAGCAGGGTTTGAAAAGTCCCGGTCCGCTCCCCTAACAATGAAATTCCCCCCTGCGGTTGCGAGGCCTCTGTCAGAAAGCTCCAGCTCCAGAGAGCTCCATCCGGACGGGACGGCGCTGCTCCGGCCGTGTGGGTGGCTTGGGCAGGCTCTGCTACCGGTCCGTGTTCGCGTGAGGGTACCGACCACCACCACACACCACGTGACTTGTATTCGTCACGCCAACAGGGCAGGCCGACCCGTCCCTCGCGTCACACTCCACACTCTTTGTGCGGCTGGTTGTGGTGAGACGTGCTGACGGTCTTCCCAGTTCTTCTCCGCCCGTCCTGCGACGTCGGCGCCGCGGGCTGACGCAGGCAGGCCGCATGGATGCGGGACGCCACAGACCGACAGCTTCCGGGGTGACCGCGCACAGCGCAGGATGCAGGGCATGGATGCCACGCAAGTAGAGCGATTTCGCGTCCCCGTTTACCAGGCTGCACCGTTCCACTGAAGTCACATGGCAAGACCTCTATCTGTCTGACATCTGTCCACGCAGCAGCTGGGGCCGACTTTAAACTCAAGTCTCTCGAGATGATACTTAGAGATACACACCGCCGCTTCTGGGAAAGACTTGCAGGACAAGGATGGGATCCGTTCTCTCAAGGGACAACTAAGGCCTCTGGTTACCATGGAACGCACTGGTTTCAGCGCAATGGCGTCGAGACTGACCACGTGAATGCTGCCTCGCGCAGCCTCCGAGACCCCCCAATTTTGTAACCAAGAACTTCACTCTCCGAGCCGTTAGCCACACCGAGTGTATCGAGGGCCGAAATGGGCGTGACCCTCGTGAAATATCGCCGCCCAAACCATCGGCAAAAACTCCAGAAGACCACTGACCTCCGCCGCTGCAGCCTGCGCGCCCTCCGCCGGCCCAGGAATGCCGCACGCACCTCCCACGGGCGGGCGCGGGGCTGGCCCATTGTAATTCACGAGTCGTGGTCACGCACGGCGCCCGCTGGGCCGCCGCCCGCCGGCCGGCCGGCCGTCCCCGCGCCTGGTATGGCCGCCTCCGCCCTCGGCCCACTCGGAGCCAGACGGGCCGCTCACCTGATGAAGAAGTCGATGTTGACGTAGTTGGGCGGCGTGCGGCCAGCCGGCTGCGGCCGCGGGGGCTTGCCGCCTTCCGAGCTGGTCGTGTCCGCCGAGGCCGCCGAGGCCGCCGACGCCGCCGACGCGACGGACGCCACGGACATCTGCGAGGCCAGCGATGCCTCAGGAGCGGATGGTGTCGTTCGCCGCCGGCGACTTGAGCTCGAGCTCACCCGAGCTGGCCGACTTGAGCGTGTCGCCGTTGTACTCGGAGGCAGAGCTGAGGTCGGGCTCAGGCTCGGCTTCGGCCTCAGGGCTCAGGGTCCGGGTCGGCCGCCACCGTGTCGTATAGCGGCTCCTCGATACCCTCCATGTAGTCGCGGTGCGGTGCGCTGGCCGCCGGAAGCGAGCCCGAGGAGCTCTGCGACGCAGAGCGGCTCACCTTCGGCTCGAAGAACTTGGGGCTGGCGTTGCGCGGGCTCGACGTGCCCGAGTCCTTCAGGCTCTCCTTGGACGCGTACTTGCCGAGCGTCTCCCGCGTCGGGAAGCTGGTCAGGCTCTC